TTTATTTATTTTTTTGAGGTATAGTCAATTTACAGTGTTCTGTCAATTTCTGGTGTACAGTGCAATTCTTCAGTCATATACGTATATATATATATTCATTTTCATATTCTTCTTCACCATGAGCTACTACAAGATATTGAATATATTTCCCTGTGCTATACAGTATAAACTTGTTTGTCTATTTTTATATATACCAATCTATCTGCAAATCTTGAACTCCTAGTTTATCCCTTCCCACCTCCCTCTCTCCCCTGGCAACCACAAGTCTGTATTCTATGTCTGTGAGTCTGTTTCTGTTTTATATGTAAGTTCTATTGTTTGTTTCTTTTAAGATTCCACATATGAGTGATCTCATATGGTATTTTTCTTTCTCTTTCTGGCTTACCTCACTTAGAATGACATTCTCCAGGGCCTTCCATGTTGCTGCAAATGGCATTATTTTATCATTTTTATGGCTGAGTAGTATTCCATTGTATAAATATACCACTTCTTCTTTATCCAGACATCTGTTGATGGACATTGAGGTTGTTTCCATGTCTTGGTATTGTAAATAGTGCTGCTATGAACATTGGGATGCAGGTGTCTTTTTGAATTAGGATTCCCTCTGGATATATGTCCAGGAGTGGAATTGCTGGGTCATATGGTAAGTCTATTTTTAGTCTTTTGAGGATTCTACATACTGTCTTCCACAATGGCTGCACCAAACTGCAACCAACAGTGTAGGAGGGTTCCCTTTTCTCCACACCCTCTCCAGCATTTATCATTTCTGGATTTTTGAATGATGGCCATTCTGACTGGTGTGAGGTGATACCTCATTGTAGTTTTGATTTGCATTTCTCTGATAATTAGTGATACTGAGCATTTTTTCATGGGCCCATTGGTCATTTGTATGTCTTCCTTGGAGAATTGCTTGTTTAGGTCTTCTGCCCATTTTTGGATTGGGTTGTTGTTGTTTTCTTATTAAATTGTATGAGCTGTTTCTATAGTCTGGAAGTCAAGCCCTTGTCAGTTTCATCTTTTGCAGATATTTTCTCTCAATCTGTAGGTGGTTTTGTTTTGCTTGTGGTTTCCTTTGCTGTGCAAAAGCTTCTAAGTTTAATTAGGTCCCGTTTGTTTATTTTTGCTTTTATTTCTATTGCTTGGGTAGACTGCCCAAGGAGAACATTGCTGAGATGTATGTGAGATAATGTTTTGCCTATGTTTCCTTCTAGGAGTTTTATTATGTTTTGTCTTATGTTTAAGTCTTTGATCCATTTTGAGTTTATTTTTGTGTATGGTGCGAGGGAGTATTCTAACTTCGCTGATTTATATGCTGCTGTCCGGTTTTCCCAGTACCATTTGCTGAAGATACTGTCTTTATTCCATTGTATGCTCTTGCCTCCTTTGTCAAAGATTAATTGACCAAAAGTTTGTGGGTTCATTTCTGGGCTCTATTCTGTTCCATTGATCCATACGTCTGTGTTTGTACGAATACCATACTGTTTTGATTACTGTAGCTCTGTAGTGAGGAAGATATTCTTGAGCTTGTTGATGTTACTTTGATATCAAGATTGGGTCCAAAGTAGAGAATGAGTTACTGAATGACTGTAAACAGCACTGAGTGCTAGTTGGCAACATCCTATTCCTGACAAACATTACTCTCCAGGCTAGTGCTGCTGAGGAAGTGGACATGCATGTAGCTATGGTGGTAAGTCATGATGATGTAGGATTAATAGATGATGAAAAGATATAGCTTCATCACATTCTTCAGCAAATTGTACTTGCCCTCCTCCACCCCGAAAAGGATTTCTAAGACAAAATGTTCTTCATAGTTGTCTTTGTAGTCTAACTTTATTTTATGGTGAAAGTAATATACACGCACATATGTATGCAAATATGTGTGTGTTCAGATTACCTTCCAGAGGTACATGAGTGAAAAAAATCTCAGCTCAGTGAAATGGAAACTCATTTATAAATCTATTATATGTAAAAATTGTGTGAAACCACAACACATTATTGAGGGCAAAGTATAGTTGTTAGAGCAAATGTGTTATGTATCAGGTCATATACCAAAATGGAAATCAAGTTTTGAGAAGTTATTCAGAAGCCTTGCTGTTCTAAAAAACCGGAAATGTCTTAAAGGCTTACTCCTAATAATAATTAATTGACCCTATTTAATTGTGAGGGAATAAAATTTAGACCACAACAGCTGCATTTGCCTAACTACATAGAAAAGACAGATTTTTGCTTGTGCTCCAAAATAGGACAAAGTAGAAAAAAACCAAAAACTCATTTCAGTCTTGAATAGAATGTATGTTACTTAAGAAGAAACTCACTAATTGTTGTGGTACTCACAGCAAACATTTGCTTTGCCAGTGAAAAAGGTACATTGATGTAACAGCCAAGATGAAGTTCTTAATGTTTCATGAAACAGTCCTAATCCTGTCGACCATTATCACTATAGATTAGATAGTTGCTTTCTGACAATTTCTTAGTACAGTCTGAGAAAATATATTGTTTTATACTATTAAAAATGAGTTTACTGAAATCAGTTCATCAGATTAAGAATAATCCTAATATGTCTTCCTCTGAAATTGTTTTGAGAAATGTAAAGTTTATAACAGTATTTATCCTGGTTCAGTTCTCATAGCATGTCATGTCAATTTCATGTTGTGCTTAGTTAAAAACTTCCTCCTCCTTCTTCCTCTTACTGTTTGAAAAAAAGCTTTGACCTGGTCTGGCACAGGGAGGAGTCAAGGAAGGCTTCTCTGAAGAAGAGATGGCTAAAGTGATAATCCAAAAGCTTAGGTCTGCAGAGTAAAAAAGAACATTCTGGGCAGAGAGGAGCATGCGCACTAGTGTTAGAGGAAACATGTTCGTGAAGAAGTGTTGCTGAGGTGCTGGGAGAAGGCAGAATAGGGTGATAAGAGGCTAAAAGGGAGACAACGATGGAACAACCAGAGAGACCAAAGGAATACCTGGAGGGTGCGTGAGTGAGGAGGGAGAACACTGAAATGTTACTGCAAGAGCAGCTACCGTGAGAAAAGGAAAACCTCATTAGATTTAGTAGCACAGTAGGGTTATCGGTGATGTTAGCAAGAACAGTTTTGATGGAATGATAGGGACTAAAACTAGGTTGGAATGGATTGAGCCATGAGGAGTCTGAAAAGGCTGACTTGAGAAAGAAGTTGGTAACTGGAGAGAAAGAATTTAAAATTCTTATTTATTTAATGGGAGAGACTTAAGCCCAGCTGAAAGCTATGGGAGGAGGTACTGAGAAGGGATGTTGATTATGTAAGAGAGAGAAGGGCTGTCACTGATTATGGTTCCTAAAATGGCAGAAGACAATAGAATCTAAGGCAGAGGGTTGGCCTTAAATAATGGAGAGAAATCGCTTTGAACTGGAGTGAAGTACATATAAGGAATAGATTGTATGGTTTCTGTTCTCG